AACCGTTAGGCGCAGGAGAGAACTCTTGAAGCCTTCCCAAGCGCCGCATCCCGTCGGGTTGGTGGTGTAGTGGCAGGGTGCTGGGTGTCAAGCCTGGGGTCCGGGGTTCTGACCCCCTCAATATTTTTAATTTTTGCTTTTTGCTGTTTTCGCTTTTATTTTGCCGAGAGAGGGTCTAGAAAGTGTTTTCGCAAGTTTTTCGGTTCTATGAATCCCTAGAAGTTGCCTAGGCAGAAAAATCAATTTTGGAAAATTTGGAAGTTTTTGTAAAAAAGGTCTACCTAGCTATTCCGGCCCGATGAAAACCAACTGAATAGTTAATAATTATTATTTTTGAACCGGAATTGTAAAAATAGAATTATTCTGGCAATCTGAAATATCTCGGTGCTCTGATTTGAGGCGCCTAGCAGCCAGAACCACCTATTTTAAGCAGTTTTCAATTCTGCCAGGATCCGGGGCCATAGGATAGGTCGTCAAATTTTAATGAAAAACTTTTTTTTCAGAGCAATTTTTTTCGGGTGTGGAAAAGTGTCTAATGTCATGGATGCAATGAAAATTCCATCAAAACATTTTTTCCAAGCCGTAAGGCCCGATAAAGCGGCTAAAAGTGCATTTTAGGAGCACTTTTTTCCATTAAAATGAAAAGTTTATTAAACAAAAGTGCCCATTGGCAGATAATTTTATCACATCGTTTTCCCCGTATTTTATTTGACTTTGCCACCAATTTTGGGCCGATTTAGAGTCTGTGACCTCACAACCTCTACATGTTAGATGCCTTCCTCCAGTCCTCAGAAACCCCCCCCCCCATAGCCGAAACGCCCTTAAAAAACTACCAAAATACCTTCCTGATGGCTTCAGATACCCCCCATAGCCTAAACGCCCTTACAAAAACTACCAAAGTACCTTCCTGATGGCTTCAGATACCCCCCATAGCCGAAACGCCCTTAAAAAACTACCAAAATACCTTCCTGATGGCTTCAGATACCCCCATAGCCGAAACGCCCTTAAAAAAACTACCAAAATACCTTCCTGATGGCTTCAGATACCCCTCATAGCCGAAACGCCCTTAAAAAACTACCAAAATACCTTCCTGATGGCTTCAGATACCCCCCATAGCCTAAACGCCCTTAAAAAACTACCAAAATACCTTCCTAATGGCTTCAGATACCCCCCATAGCCGAAATCCCCTTAAAAAACTACTTCGATACCTTCTTGATGGCTTCAGATAGCCCCATAGCCGAAAAGCCCTTAAAAAACTACCAAAATACCTTCCTGATGACTTCAGAAACCCCCCATAGCCTAAACGCCTTTAAAAAACTAACCAAATACCTTCCTGAAGGCTTCAGATACCCCCCATAGCCGAAACGCCCTTAAAAAAACTACCAAAATACCTTCCTAATGGCCTCAGATACCCCCCATAGCCGAAACGCCCTTAAAAAACTACCAAAATATCTTCCTGATGGCTTCAGATACCCCCCATAGCCGAAACGCCCTTAAAAAACTACCAAAATACCTTCCTGATGGCTTCAGATACCCCCCATAGCCGAAACGCCCTTAAAAAAAACTACCAAAATACCTTCCTAATGGCTTCAGATACCCCTCATAGCCGAAACGCCCTTAAAAAACTACCAAAATACCTTCCTGATGGCTTCAGTTACCCCCCATAGCCGAAACGCCCTTAAAAACTACTAAAATGCCTTCCTGATGGCTTCAGATACCCACCATAGCCGAAACGCCCTTAAAAAACTACCAAAATACCTTCCTGATGGCTTCAGATACACCCCATAGCCGAAACGCTCTTAAAAAGCTACCAAAACACCTTCCTGATGACTTCAGATACCCCCCATAGCCGAAACGCCCTTCAGAAACTACCAAAATACCTTCCTGATGGCTTCAGATACCCCCCCCCCCTCCAGCCGAAACCCCCTTAAAAAACTACCAAAACACCTTCCTGATGACTTCAGATACCCCCCATAGCCGAAATCCCCTTAAAAAACTACTTCGATACCTTCCTGATGGCTTCAGATACCCCCCTTAGCCGAAACGCCCTTAAAAACTACCAAAATGCCTTCCTGATGGCTTCAGATACCCCCCATAGCCGAAACGCCCTTAAAAAACTACCAAAATACCTTCCTGATGGCTTCAGAAACCCCCCATAGCCGAAACGCCCTTAAAAAACTACCAAAATACCTTCCTGATGGCTTCAGATACCCCCATAGCCAAAACGCCCTTAAAAAACTACCAAAATACCTTCCTGATGGCTTCAGATATCCCTCATAGCCGAAACGCCCTTAAAAAACTACCAAAATACCTTCCTGATGACTTCAGATACCCCCCATAGCCGAAATCCCCTTAAAAAACTACTTCGATACCTTCCTGATGGCTTCAGATACCCCTCATAGCCGAAACGCCCTTAAAAACTACCAAAATGCCTTCCTGATGGCTTCAGATACCCCCATAGCCGAAACGCCCTTAAAAAACTACCAAAATACCTTCCTGATGGCTTCAGAAACCCCCCATAGCCGAAACGCCCTTAAAAACTACCAAAATACCTTCCTGATGGCTTCAGATACCCCTCATAGCCGAAACGCCCTTAAAAAACTACCAAAATACCTTCCTGATGGCTTCAGATACCCCTCATAGCCGAAACGCCCTTAAAAAACTACCAAAATACCTTCCTGATGGCTTCAGATACCCCTCATAGCCGAAACGCCCTTAAAAAACTACCAAAATACCTTCCTGATGGCTTCAGATACCCCCCATAGCCGAAACGCCCTTAAAAAACTACCAAAATACCTTCCTGATGGCTTCAGATACCCCCCATAGCCGAAACGCCCTTCAAAAACTACCAAAATACCTTCCTGATGGCTTCAGATACCCCCCATAGCCGAAACGCCCTTCAAAAACTACCAAAATACCTTCCTGATGGCTTCAGATACCCCCATAGCCGAAACGCCCTTAAAAACTACCAAAATACCTTCCCGATGGCTTCAGATACCCCCCATAGCCGAAACGCCCTTAAAAAACTACCAAAATACCTTCCTGGTGGCTTCAGATACACCCCATAGCCGAAACGCCCTTAAAAAGCTACCAAAACACCTTCCTGATGACTTCAGATACCCCCCATAGCCGAAACGCCCTTCAAAAACTACCAAAATACCTTCCTGATGGCTTCAGATACCCCCCCCCCGCCTCCAGCCGAAACCCCCTTAAAAAACTACCAAAACACCTTCCTGATAACTTCAGATACCCCCCATAGCCGAAATCCCCTTAAAAAACTACTTCGATACCTTCCTGATGGCTTCAGATATCCCTCATAGCCGAAACGCCCTTCAAAAACTACCAAAATACCTTCCTGATGGCTTCAGATACCCCCCCGCCTCCAGCCGAAACCCCCTTAAAAAACTACTTCGATACCTTCCTGATGGCTTCAGATACCCCCCCGCCTCCAGCCGAAACCCCCTTAAAAAACTACCAAAATACCTTCCTGATGGCTTCAGATACCCCCCATAGCCAAAACGCCCTTAAAAAACTACCAAAATACCTACCTGATGGCTTCGGATACCCCCATAGCCGAAATCCCCTTAAAAAACTACTTCGATACCTTCCTGATGGCTTCAGATACCCCCCTTAGCCGAAACGCCCTTAAAAACTACCAAAATGCCTTCCTGATGGCTTCAGATACCCCCCATAGCCGAAACGCCCTTAAAAAACTACCAAAAGACCTTCCTGATGGCTTCAGAAACCCCCCATAGCCGAAACGCCCTTAAAAAACTACCAAAATACCTTCCTGATGGCTTCAGATACCCCCCATAGCCAAAACGCCCTTAAAAAACTACCAAAATACCTTCCTGATGGCTTCAGATACCCCCCATAGCCGAAATCCCCTTAAAAAACTACTTCGATACCTTCCTGATGGCTTCAGATACCCCTCATAGCCGAAACGCCCTTAAAAAACTACCAAAATACCTTCCCGATGGCTACAGATCCCCCCTCCAGCCGAAACCCCCTTAAAAAACTACCAAAACACCTTCCTGATGACTTCAGATACCCCCCATAGCCGAAATCCCCTTAAAAAACTACTTCGATACCTTCCTGATGGCTTTCGATACTTTAACTGATTTAAATAATGAATTAACATAATTAAAAAGTATTAAAAAGTATTAAAGTAACTTAAAAAGCTATTTGGGCGCGGGAAAGAGTCTGGTGAAGAGGGGCTGGGGAAAGGGGGCGTGGGCTGTCGGGAGAGGGGTCCCCACTCGTTTTATTAAGGCGCCACTTCATCATTTTTTATCATTTATCACTTTTTCATCATTTTTTTATCAGTTTTGGGGTTTCTGACCACGCTATATCCGAATCCGAAGAGACCTAAGCTCTAGTTCTTTTCCCCTTCGAGTTGAATTCGGCTTCAGACACACGAACGGACACCGCTACTTTTTTTATTATAGTTCTTATGCATGGAAACTCATCTAAATTTCCTCCCACTACCTTGATGAACTTCGAAAATTAGTTATAATACACTCTACATACTTGCCAAATTCCTGCAGTGCCCTCCTACTTGTCTTTTACTCGAAATCTTCGTATCATACTTTTTATATGCATGGAAACTCTACTAAATGCCCTCCCACTACCCTGCTGCGCTGCGAAAATTCGTTATACCACACGCTGGATACTTGTAAAATCCCTTGAAATGCCTTCCTACTTGTCTTTTACTCGAAATCTTCGTATCATACTTTTTATATACATGGAAACTCTACCAAATGCCCTCCCACTACCCTGCTGCGCTTCGAAAATTCGTTATACCACACGCTGGATGCTTGTAAAATCCCTTGAAATGCCTTCCCACTTGTCTTTTACTCGAAATCTTCGTATCATACTTTTTATGTGCTTCAGAACTGAAAACTAACAGTCTGGTGCTCGATTCAAATAATTTATCCATGCCGTTGCTTCTATTCGTTTTCTTTGCGCTCGTCTGTCTTTTCGCAAACTTTAATTCCAGCATGCCTCTGAAATGCACGAAGTGTGGCGCCCGGGTGCGCAAGCGAATGGTCGGTGGGAAATGCAAATGCCTGCTTTGTAAGCGTTGCGCTTCTGAAGACGAATTCCAATGCCTGAAATGTTTGCCGTTGACTGAAGTTGCAGGTGTAGACGAAAAAGGTGCGACATTTTCACCCAATTTTATTTCAATCTTTTAGTTCGTGAACTTGAAGAGCCTCTAAATGCAAATGCAGCCTCAACCTCCAAATGCAGCCTCAACCACGCGGCATCACTCACAAAGGAATCGGCGCCGGTACATTACAAATTTGTGTATATAGCTCGTATTTATCCAGATAATGTACGACCGGATGGCCCTGCGCTTTCTGCAACGCCTAAAACAGGGTCAACAGAACTTAGCGCCAAGATCGAGAGCGAAGGTGAGAAAATTCACGCTCTTTTCAAGTTTTTTTAGGCTCGCGCAAACCGAAAATATGTCGTTGGGATTTACGAAGCCCTCAAGAGTGTACGGGCTTGCCAGGCCAAACTAATCATCATCGCGAAGGATGCTACGGGTATAAATCGTCTGATTCATATTAAATGTCATTTAGAAACCGCGAAGTCGGCGATGTTCGCCTTGTTTTACGAGAGCGATCTCAAAAATGTACCAATCATCCGGGCGGCCGACAAGCGCTCGATCGGTCAACTCTTGACAAGCGGCAGATACCTGAGCTGCATATGCGTAGTCGACTGTAATGGGCTCGAGGTACATTCCGAAACTTTTTCATTCTTACCTTTTTCGTTCAGCGAGAAGTGGAATTACTTCTGAAAGACGCCAAGACCACCGAAGCCACAAATGCCGATGTGAAGCATGACGAAGCGAAATAGGTTTTGGTTCTTCACCCGCTTTCCCCCCTCAAAATTTGATTATGTTTCACTAGGATTACCCGTGAACGCGCCTACACTTCTTGATCTTATTTTTGCATTCTAAGACGCAGATTCTATAGACAATCTGTCCCATTTGCAGTTGACTTTCCTGAAGAGCACCATAGTTTAGTTTCGGTAGTAAAAACAGTTCTTTCCCCCGGCCGCGTAGCTTATCAAAATCCTCACAAGTTGACCAAACGCCTCCAACGAACGTTAGGCTGAAATATAAACAACATATTTCGAATATACGACTCAGCGCATCACGAATCTCGTACCTTTGAATCAAACGTATCCAGGTCCCAAACGTAGCGACATATAGACGTGCTTTCTCCACTTTAGTTAGGCCAATTTTGGAATATGCCAGTGAGGTCTGGTCCCCGGTTCAGAAGTGCCAAATCAACGAGTTAGAAAGCGTTCAGCGCAAGTTTACTCGTTTCGCTTTACTGAAACTCTTGCCAAATTCAACACCCCCTCCTTATGCTGACCGACTCAAAATTTTCACACTTCGCGCCCTAGAACAAGTAGGATAGAAGCCGACCTGGCAACTTGCTATAAGTCTCTATTTCTTCCAAATTTTCCATGTAAGCTCTTCCAACTATCAGCTCGTCCTCCCCGAAATGCACATCCTTTTCAAATCAGACGGACCCAAAGCGTCCAAGGTTTCTCACGCGCTTTTTTTCTCACGTAGGGTCGTAAAGCTTTGGGATCGGCTCCCCCGGTCAGCTTTTCGTGCGGGTACCATAAAAAATTTTCGGCGAAACTTGCAAAATATGGATCTGCAGAGCACCCCGTTCAGCGCCATATGATCCGCCCCATATTCCCCCTTTTCATTTTTATCCTGCTCTAAATTTTGATTTTGTGTTCATACTGCGGTCTTATGAGAATACGGGTCGTTGTGATGAATTGTTGATTGGGCTAAGAATAAACTTTTCATTTTGTTTACGGAGGCATTCATACTCTTACAATAAGCACAACTTTTATTCGGGCGGCGGAGAAGAGGCAATGACAGCGTAGTACCCGTTCATGAGCACGAAAGGTGCGGGTGGAGTCGGGTTTGCGCTGCCAACTAACACGCTAACTGTTCGGATTCAGGTCCTTTCCGCAAAGCATGTTGCAAAATTGAGGCCGTACAAGCATACGCACGCGCCGTGAACCCGAATTGTAGTCTAAAGGCCTAAATAGGATCACCC